AAATAGGAAAAGGAGTACATCAAGGCTGTATATTGTCACCCTGCTTATTTAACTTATATGCAAAGTGCATCATGAGAAAAGCTGGGCTGGAAGAAGCATAAGCTGGAATCAAGATTGCCAGGAGAAATATCAATAACCTCAGATATGCAGATGACACCACCCTTAAGACAGAAAGTGAAGAGGAACTAAAGAGCCTCTTGATGAAAGTGAAAGAGGAGAGGGAAAAAGTTGGCTTAAAGCTCAACATTCAGAAAACTAAAATCATGGCATCTGGTCCTTTCACTTTATGGTAAATAGATGGGGAAACAGTGGAAACAGTGGCAGACTTTATTTTCTTGGGCTTCACAATCACTGCCAATGGTGATTGCAGCCATGAAATTAAAAGATGCATACTCCTAAGAAGGAAAGTTATGACCAACCTAGACAGCATATTAAGAAGCAGAGACATTGCTTTGTCAACAAAGGTCCATCTAGTCAAGGCTATGGTTTTTCCAGTGGTCATGTATGGATGTGAGAGTTGGACTGTGAAGAAAGCTGAGCGCTGAAGAATTGATGTTTTCGAACTGTGGTGTTGGAGAAGACTCTTGAGAGTCCCTTGGACTGCAAGGAGATCCAACCAGTCCATCCTAAAGGAGATCAGTCCTGGGTGTTCACTGGAAGGATTGATGCTGAAGCTGAAACTCCAGTACTTTGGCCACCTGATGCAAAGAACTGACTCATTTGCAAAGACCCTGTTGCTGGGAAAGATTGAAGGCAGGATGAGTAGAGGATGACAGAGGATGAGATGGTTGGATGGCATCACCAACTCAATGGACGTGAGTTTGAGTGAACTCTAGGAGTTAGTGATGGACAGGGAAGCCTGAAGTGCTGCAGTCCATGGGGTTACAAAGAGTTGGATACAACTGAGTGACTGAACTGAACTGATTGCGTTATATTGTGCTGTTATTTTCATAAAGCAAATCTAATAGGATTTCAGCAAAATACTTGATGCAATTATCAGTAGAACATTCCTGACATGAGTTGGCATCAGGAAAGAAAGACAGGGCCATTTCAGAACATTCAACTTTATTTTCCATTGACAAACACAACATAAATAACATACATTTTTTAAATACACAGACTACCTATGACTTGAATGCCATCAAAATTCTGATGTACTTTTCAGTCTTTTATTTTTGTCTCCACAATATTGAAGACTACCCTTTCAAACATACTGGAAGATATGTTTAGATATACTTAACATAACTCCTAGAAAAATTTTACATAAAGGTGACAGAAGTTTACCTTCCCATTGAACTCACTGGGATGGAATGCTGAGTAGGAGAGGTGGAGAAACATACAATTTTTATACTGAGCTTTACATCATTTATTAAAGTGTCAATGATTTCTATTCTTACTTATATACATTTTGAAAATAATATATTCATTTGTTGTAAGCAGATTAATATCATCAGTGCCTATTTTTAATTTGCTTCCTTAGAGAAATGTTCAACTTCATGCCATCTGTACAAAATTGTTTTGTTAAAGAAGAGGGAGAAAGTAAAATATTCTATCTATATATAGGAGGCCTGGGAAGAAAAAGAGTTTGGCAGTCAGTGATGACTTGAGTGGATTAAACATTTGCTTTTACAGAAAAGAACACTGGCCACTTCTCAATTTGTCCTATTGATGTTCAAGTGTATGAAGATAAATGTGGCCCCTTCCTCTCCTTGCTTCTGTGAAATGGTCTAAAAGGATGAAGAATCTTGACAAGTTGGAAACATATAGGTTTTCTTTCATCTCTTTGTCTTTGTTCTCTGTCCCACCCTCCATGTCTATTCCATAGGAGTGTCCTTTCAAAAGCTGAAAGAACACTGAAGTCCATCAGTAAGTCATATGCATTTTCTCCTGCTAAACATTACAGCTTTGATTTCTACAGAAATTGAAAACCATAGAAATAAACTATTTTCATATTAATGTCTGATGATTGGCAAGCTTTTGGCTAGATATCTGGTTCACTTTAATTAAAAAAGCCAAACTATTCTAATTCTAAAGCAACTGACAGGGACTTCCCTGGTGGTCCAGTAGTTAAGACTCCGTGCTTCCAATGCAGGGGACCCGGGTTCGATCCCTGGTCGGGGAACTAGGATCCCACATGCTGCGGGGTGAGGCCAAAAAAAAGAAGAAGAAAAAAAAGTAAAGCAACTGACAAAGGAATTTAAGAGCTGATCAAAAAAATTTTAGAAGTTCTATCATCTCTAAAATGCTTGATAAGCCTGAAAAGCCTAATTATACCTGATGTTAATCTCTCTCTTTCTTATATTTACTCCCATAATAAAATTATTTCATTAAAGCAGATATTAAAAAACAGACTCAGATCTGTTTCATCGATTAGTACATTAGCACATTAGAAATGTGAAACCATTCTCTCTCTTAAAAACAATTCCAGCTTCACCAATAGTAAATATTTCTGTTACTTTCTCTCCATGAGAAAATGGATAAACAGTCTGGAGGCAAGGGGGCCAGGGAAACAGTCTTTTTTTCTAAAGAAGAAATAAGCATTTCAGTAGATATATGAGTTGTTCATGATTTAAAACAAATTGATGTAAAATTTCTGAAAATAGAATAATTTTCATTCTCAATAAAAAATGTGTAATCTCTATATGAGCAAATATGGTATATACCTGATTGAACTGCATTTCTAAAGAATCAAAATGTAGTAGGCTTGTGGTATCATAATGTAATGGTTTACAACTCAACTTGTATAAGTGGAAAACCTTTAAATAGAATCCTCACTCAAGATTTATAAAATAGAGACTCCATAAAATTAAAATTCTTTGCTCTTTCATTATTTAAAAGAGTAAAGAGTAGAGAAGAGTGAGAAAGAAAATGTTAAGCAGCATGCCTTGAAGATATAATTCCATTTGATTTAAAAACTGATTGTTGACCTCCTTTGGGGGAAAAAACCACCTTACTTCTAGAAGTGCTGAAGTCTTTCATAGATGTGCATAGTTTCAGTTTTCCATTTGTCACTGTGAGGACAAAGTCAGCCTGTACTGCTCTTTTTACTTTCTTTAGTTTTATTCAAGGTGGACTCAATTCAAAAAAGGCATTCAGGGAAGGCATGTGAAAGATTTTACTTAATAGCTACAACATGAATCATTATAAAATTGAAACCTTTTGGGTGAGAGTAATCCAGGGGTAAGGAACTTTCACATGTAATTAGTATCCATATACATGATACCAGTATAATGGAGTTCTAATTTTTAAATTTGCCATAATTCTCTGTTTCATGGTTCACATGTAATCACTACCTGTTAGTTGTCTTAGAGTTTTGAACTGACAGCACCTTCTTAACAAATGTGCATGTGAGTTTTAGTTTGATTTTCAAATTTTGTAAATAGACTATATCATAACCTCCATTATGAAACATCATAGACGTATGTCACCTCTTATTAACATTGTATTGCAACTCAGAAAACAGTTCTATCAATATAGCCACAGTATTAAATACTCTTTATTTAAAAAAATGATATAATCTCATTCATAGAACAATTCTGTTCACTTATTTAGACCTCAGCTTTAGCAGATTTCAGACATACACAATCACAAAGACAGCAATAAATAAGTAGTTGTGAAGATATGGCATGCTTGATGACCTAAACTTTGTACAGAGGTAAATCAAGGAAATTTCAGTTAGTCCGCAATAACCTTTTAATATGTTTGTAGTAATAAATACTCTACAGTCTCTCTGTGTCACTCACCTTCTAGTAACCTGCATATTTCAAAAGAAGCTTTTGGAATTAAGTATGAAAATAAATGGGTAATATATGTGTTTAAAATTTCAAAGAATGAGATTTTTCTATTTTCTTAGCTGACTTAATCCTAATACAAAAGGGCTATGATTATCAACATTGGGAAGACTGAAAACAGATCACTAATCTGGGGTCAAAACCAACAAAAACATATAAAGTATTAAATAAAAGGCCTAATTCTTGAAAATCTAAGGATATTGCCACAGATTGTCCACCTTATTAAGATACTGTTTTGTCAGAGTTTTTAGTTTGTCTATTACTCAATGCCAGTGTGTTTTCAGGGTCTTTTACAGTTGACTTTTACATGAGCTTCTAAAATTTTGTTCCATAACATGGTCAAGAGGTCTTTTATATAATAAATAAGTGTTCAGTATATATGTGTGGCTTTAAATTGGCAATCATTTGAATCTGGCATGATTAAATGCTTATGTTTACTTAAAATGACTTGGTATATAGCTTAGGCAGATTTGCTAGATCCTGGGATAACACATTTAATTTCTTCAATTTAAAATATTTTAAAGATATCTACCATACTTATTTCATTTGAAAAGTAAACTGTTCTTATTGGTTGACATGTCATCATTCTCTTCTGTGATACAACATAGCTGAATAAATTCACTGTGTGGAAAATCAGAATAGCTTTGTAAAATCTACAATAGTTGATATCACATTTATTTTTACATTGTATTCACTTCTTTTTATTTGGTTTCCTAGGCCTCCATTTTTTTAAACCAGTATTGAGAAGTTTTGGGATTGTCATAATTTATGCATGCATTTTTTTCCTGCCCAAAACTAAGTATACTAGAGTAAACTTAAAGACTAAGGAACTTAAATTTGGAAACCGATACACTCTTCTGCAGTGACTTTAGATGTTTACTTCCTTAACCACATTGAGGGCTTCTGAACATCCTGAAATCTAACCTCAACTATCATCCAAAGGTCAATATCATTTAGGACTAACATTTCTTACCAGGTTTTTCATGTACTAACACGTCACATGCTGTTTACATAATTCTTCCTTTCCGCTTCCTTTTTAAGCTGTTCAAAAACTGCCATCAACCACAGCTACCATATATCCCTGGGCAGGAAACTATTCCATAGTTAAGCATGAGTTTTAGGTTGTTTTGTCTTTATGAATTTCTGTGGTCTGATGAAAAGTGATATTTCTTTGACTGTCATCTCAATTACCACTTGGGAGTAGTAGTCTTAAATTATTAATACAAATGATTTACTTTGTTATGAAGCAATATGATACTCAACATTTGAAGATAAATTTGTATTTCTGTAATTAAACAAGCAGAGTTCACACTTTATCAGCTCAATGGTCTATAAAGTCATGAAGCACTTCAACCATATAGTGGGACCACACTGATGTGCACCTGGTTTTGGCAAATAATTATTCATTCATTCACTGAACAAATAGTCATTGAACACTTTCTATATTCCTAGTGTAAGGTGCTGGAAGAAATAACCCATTCAAGCTCACACTACTCGAATCTATGCTATGTGTATGTGTCTAAACCTAGGACCTAAAGCTTCGTCATTATAAGGTCATTTAAGTACAATTTTTTTAAAGTATGTAGTTTGGTCTCATCCTCCACGAGGTGACTTGTGGGATAATTCAATTCTATGGTATAGAGAAATTTTTAAATCTCCTTTTAGCATAGGTTATTTGTCATCATTTTTTCCCCAAAACCTAGACTAGTGGAACCACCATGAGTTACATAAGCACTCTCAGCAGATTTTGCCTTCTCACTCAATTTGACATGATCATTTAAATTGATTCCTCCTAATTGACTTAGCCTGGTAAACATATTAATCTAATAGATATTTTTCACCTCTTAAAATTAATTCTTCCCCCTTTGCCTACTGAATACACACAAAAAAAGGTAGTTACTATAAAGGAGTATAAATTTCAAGTTTCTTAAAACTGGGAAAACAATAAAGGAAAAAGCAAGTTAAACTCTGAATGAGAAACAGTAAGTTTGCAAAACAAGTGCTCTAAAGAGTACAAAGAACATTTTATGTAGGTCTGATTCAAAAGATTCTTATGTTTGTTGGGGAGTTGCTTTTATTTTTTTAAGTGTAATTCTCAAAATTTAATGTAGTGACCTGCTTGTGCCAAAAAGATATCAAGCTTAGCTGTCAAGGTTTGTACACATAAGGAGATACATTTTAATAATAAATATTTAGATAGAAACTTTGAAGAGAGGGCAAAGAAAGTGCTGTGAGATATCAATATTATAATTTCCTTATCCTATAAATAGGCTAAACTATGGAAAGTCTTTATGGAAGCTTTAAAATATTTACTGGTCTTAGAATAGGAGTTAGTATTTAAATACACAAAAGACCGAAGAGAATATTTTGGGTGGAAAAATCAGGGAAAATAATTAGCTTAAGTACCTATATTTAGGGCTCAATCAGTCCTTAAATAGAATTTTGAAAAAAATCACTTCACTGACTCCCAAGCACAGTTTCATGAATCCGCTCCAGGCTTGTAGGAATTAAAAATGTAATCTAAAGGAAGAACATTTAACAATTTGGATGTTCATAAATTGTCATATTTGAAATAAATGGAATTAATTGACTCATTCAGATAATGAATAAACCTAATTACCAACCAAACCAAAACAGACTCTGTAAGGTTAGCAGCAAATTTGCATATTGAATGACATTTAAATAACATCAGTATCAATGAATACTGTGAATATGTTATACATTTTTTCATCCTAAATCAACTTTAAAAAAAAATTTAAGGGGAATGAAAGTGACACAGAAAGGAAGAGAGAGAGTAAAAGAGAAAGCAGAAGACCAAGGCCTTTGAGCAAAAATAAACTGTTGCCTTGTCTTCAAATATCTGTGTGTTGAATTCCCCATGTACTCAGTATATTAGAAAATTAACTATCTCTATACAGCCCCCACTACAGACCAAGATCATTTATAAAAACAAAAGAAGTGCTTTCACCTAATAAATAATCACACATTCAGCTACGTATGGAAGAGACCCCAAAACACTAGACTGACATTAATCTATTTTCCTTTGCTTGTGTTTCAATACTTTTGGCACATAGGGGATTATTAATATTTTTGCTTGAGACCATTTAGGCCTTATATCAAAAATTCTGCTTCAATGCATAAATAGCAGCATGCCAGAGATGCCTAAATTCACAGTAAGATTTAAGGCTATTTTTTGCCAAAAGCTGTGAACATGCAAGTTGATTAAGTGTTCTCTTTCATGCTCCTGTCTGTGTTATTTCATTGGATAGTGAGATAGTCGGCACTTTAGGTCCATTATTAAAGTAGCTGGATACAGCATTTGCTACCTGGCAAAACTTTTGAAGAAGGATCTTTCTTAGCAGCAGATAAACCCAGGGATCCAAGATCTGGTTCAGTGAAGCCAGGCGAACAGCTATTAAGAAGAAGTGGCATTCATCCTGATTTTCTGTATTTGTCTTGCAGTGTTCAACTGATGTGTGATTGAAGATCATGTTCAACATCATTATCTAAGAAAAAGGGACATATTATTATTCCAAAGATTAGTAAAGTCATATGCATCTCCCCACATGGTACTTTGCACATGGTTAGTTTACAATAAGTTGGTTGTTGGATTAAAATGATTAATTCAAGCAACATTTATACTCACAGAACACAGCCCTGAATTATATAAGATATTCCTCTGGATTTTCCCACATTTTTGCCTATTCAACATGAGGCAGATTTTTTTTTAAGTACATATTCTCTGGCTCTTGGTCCTTGGGATTTTAGAAGTTGGAAAATAACACATCTCAAAATTAGCCAGAGTCATCTGTCTTGTTGCAGAAAATACCAGTAAGTTGATACCCTAATGGGTCAACACTTAAACAAAACCAAAACATATGTAATCTTAAACTTTGGTAGCTGTAACTAAAAAAAAAAAAAAACTACTTAAGAAAAGATAGACATAAGAAAGGGGAAAATAGCAGTTACATATTATTAGTATTATTATTATTGCCATTAGCATTTTCTGAATCCTTACAATTTGCCTGACACTGTGTCAAGTTCTTCATATGCTTTTAATAAATAATAGAAGATAAATACTACTGCCATCTCATTTTTATAATTGCGAAAACGAAGCTTTAATGATATAAAATAGCTGAGTCAAACTTAAACCCAGGTTCACTAAGATATGAAAGATAGCATTTTACCCTTCTGGGTCTCTACCCAGTCACTGCACACACACCATAATGTAAACTTCATGAAGGTAGGATCTGGACCAATACCTTTTTCCCCACTAGTTCATTCCCAGTACCTAGACTAATAATTAGCAGGTAGTGTTCAATAAACATTTGTGAATGAATATGTGACACATACATGAATATATTAATATATGACATCTATAATATACATAATATATTTATATTTGAATGAATAAATATTTGTGATTTCCACAGGAGAGAAAAAAAGTGTAGATTCATACACATCAGAAAAGGTATTCAAGCTCGTTAGTCCATTAGATAAATGAATGTTATGACAAAGTAAGAAGCCATTTTATATTCACTAGTTTGAAGAAAATGAAGCATGACTTTTCCAAATGTTAGTGAGGATGGGGAGCAATATAGACTTGCACACAGTAGTACCAAAAGCATGAGCTGGAGCAGCCACCTCGGAAGACAATCCAGCTCTGTCTCACCTGTTACCTTGCAGAAGCCCCACTCCCAAGAATGCACTGGCCTGAATTCCTGCACCACAGTGACTGTTCATTACCACATTGCTCATAACAGCAATAAAAAAGCAGGAACAACCCCAAAACACGTTCACACTTGCAAGCAAAGAAAGGTGCTGACTTTATTACCAGCTCCTAAATTGGTCTTTCTAGACATGCATGGCTATTAAGCACTTCAAATGTGGCTGAAGAAAATTGAGACATTGAGAAATATAATGATTATATAATGAAATGATAATATTTTTATATAGTGTGTTAAAAACACATTATTAAACTTAGCATCATTTGTTTCTTGTTACTTTTTAAAAACATTTTGTAAAATATTACACTAGTAGAAAATTTAAAATTATACATGTGGCAAGCATTTGTTGTTCACATTATATTTTGACTGAACTCAAAGTGTCGCGTAAGACCAACATTTATTTGGATGATCTGTCCTCAGGTCATATATCCCAAATTGAAGGGTTTGAAACATCCCAGAGCATCCTAAACACCCAGAAACCTACTATCCACAGAAATGGCACTTACTTTCTTACAGTCACCCTGACTCAACACATCAGGGTCACCTGTGAAAGCTTCTTTTACCTCATCCTCTGCAATGTGGTTTCCTCTTTTTCCAGTCTCATCTTAGTTTAGCACTTCCTCTCATCTGATTTATAGTAATAACAGAGACCCCAATAGCACAAACAGATGTCAGCATGACGCAAATTCGGCACCCTAAATCCCAGCTCTGATCAAATCCTCACCAGCTATACACGTGTCAACTCGGTCATACTGAACAGAGTTGTGTGTGTGGTAGTCGCTCAGTCGCGTCCGACTCTTGGCGATCCTGTGGACTGTAGCCCGCCAGGCTCCTCTGTGGGATTCTCCAGGCAAGAATACTGGTGTAGGCAGCCATTTCCTTCTCCAGGGGATCTTCCTGACCCAGGGATTGAACCCAGGTCTCCTGCATTGCAGGCAGATTCTTTATCATCTGAGCTACCAGGGAAGCCCTACCAGGGACAGAGTTGAGTCACAGATTAATTCTTAAAACAATCACTCGCAAAGGGAATGGAAATGTCCAGGTTTTGCTTATAATATGGGTCTGTAACTGGCAACCCACTCCAGTACTCTTGCCTGGAGAATTCCATGGACAGAGGAGCCTGGCAGGCTATAGTCCATGAGATCGAAAAGAGTTGGACATGACTGTGCGACTTTCACTTTTCAACCCCCAGATCATGGACCAGTACCAGTCCATGGCCTTTTAGGAACCAGACTGCACAGCAGGAGGTGGGTGGTGGGCAAGGGAGCCAAGCTTCACCTGCCACTCCCCTGAGCTCCCCACACTCACAGTTCCCCACACTCGCATTATCACCTGCACCATTCATTTCCCCAACCCCCTCCATGTCCCCTACCTGCCCCCCACACACCCCCTACCCCTGGCCTGGCAGTGGAAAAACTGTCTTCCACAAAACTGGTCCCTGGTGCCAAAAAGGCTGGGGTCCACTAGCTTATAAGACAAAACTGTTCTCTGTGGCTTGCTTCAGTCCTTGACCAATTTACACCCACTATCTGAACAAAATTATGGCTCTATAAACAAAAAGAAGAGAAAAATGTGTAGACATATAGTCTGTCACTTCTTTCAAATTTTTTCCAATAAAAGGAAAAATAAATTGGACAAAGAAGTGAATGGTCAATAAAGAATAATCTAGTAAGAAACTGCAAACATATAAATCTCTAGTATCAGGAATAAAGCTTAATAAAATACAGGTGGTTGCATAATTACATATATGTATTGAGTTAAGTGAAAAAAAGAATGTAAGGTAGTATGAATATAAAGTTATATTGCTATTACAATTAAATGTAAAATATGTATTTTGATTTGTGGAAGGCAATGGAATTATTACTATTAAATAATTATTCAATTAGTTAAACATTTTTATCTGTATAAGAACATTTCAAACAATTTAGGAAAGTCTTTTGTTTAAAGGAAATGAATTATCCCCTTCATTAATAAATATGAATTATTATAACCAAATTTATTTAAAATGAATAATCTAACTAGTATCTTCTGATGCTGACTCATAGCCCTGTGAACTGAACACTACCTCCCACATGTGATTAATGTTACGGCCTCAAGATGGGGAGATTATCCTGAATTATCTGGGTAGGTTCAATGTAACCACATGGGTCCTTAAAATCTGAGAACCTTTCCAGCTGTGGTCAGAGGGAGATGGAGCCAATAATTAAATATGTTTGGCCATTTACTACTTTTCAGGAAGTGTTCTGAACCTCATCTAAAATGATTTAAGAACTCATATAAGTTACATCTTCATTTTTTTTTACAAAATAAAATATTGAATTTCTCCCACTTTGTATAATCAGGAAAATTCACAAAATTACTTATTAAGATGGAATTTCAGTCATTTTATAGTCTTCCTTGATTATTCTAAAATTAATTTTTATGAGGCTAATAATTTAAAATTATTTCATTAGGCTAATACAGGTTTCATATGCCTAATATTGGTTAGTCTACTGTAATTTCCCATAATTTCCTATTGACAATGCAGTGATTATGAAATTATGAAACCAAGCCTTGGAAGCAATATCTGGCACATGGGGAGAGACACTCTAGCTTTTCCCAGAATTCATGACATGTACAGTATGAAGATAATTGGAATTAGAGGCAGTGAGTGTGATATTACTATTTCCAAATGGCAGCAGGGATGGAAATAGAACTCCTAATTTCTTGTCTAATTGTGAACATAAATGCAAGTTGTTATTTAGTCGCTCAGTTGTGTCTGATTCTTTGTGACCCCATAGCCTGTAGCCCTCCAGGCTCCTCTGTCCATGGGATTTCCCAGGCAAGAATACTGGAGTGGGTTGCTATTTCCTTCTCCATGGGATATGCCCGACCCAGGGATCGAACCCACATCTCCTGCACTCTCACTTTACCACTGAGCCACCAGGGAAGCCAAAATGCAAGTTAGCATCCATGAATATAGCAAGGAAATGAGTCTTCAACACTCCTTCAGAGCTTCCAGCACGGAATCCAGCCCTGTGGACACCTTGGTGTCCTGTAGGTGTCCTATATTAGACTTCCTTCTATTTACGGAGCTAAACAGAAATTACAATTTTTGCAAATATTTTTTAAATGATCAGACTTCAGGAGAAAAACTCTGACATCAATATGTAGATTTCTGGTAGATTAATTATTCCTATTAGTCCCATTCTACCAGGGACAAGGGACAAACAAAAAACAGGATGCTTTCTAAATTCCATATATATGTGTTAGTATACTGTAATGGTCTTTATCTTTCTGGCTTACTTTGCTCTGTATAATGGGCTCCAGTTTCATCCATCTCATTAGAACTGATTAAAAGAGACTCAGATGTATAGAACTGACTTGTGGACTCTGGGAGAAGGCGAGGGTGGGATGTTTCAAGAGAACAGCATTGAAACATGTATATTATCTAGGGTGAAACAGATCACCAGCCCAGGTTGGGTGCATGAGACAAGTGCTCGGGCCTGGTGCACTGGGAAGACCCAGAGGGATGGGGTGGAGAGGGAGGTGGGAGGGGGGACCGGGATGGGGAATACATGTAAATCCATGGCTAATTCATTTCAATGTATGACAAAAACTACTGTAATGATGTAAAGTAATTAGCCTCCAACTAATAAAAATAAATGGAAAAAAAATTTAAAAATTAAAAAAAAAACAAAAACAGGATGCTTGGCCACCATGGAAGCTATTATTTTAGGAAATACACCACACAATTGCTCCTTCAAAATGACCTCATATAACAGTCTGGTCAAGAGAGC